GTTTAATTCTTCCTTCCTTCTGCTACTTAAGCAAGCAAACGAAAAACCTGAAGATGTCTCCCTGGGAAGAGCAATGGAATTGAACATAGTAATAAGTGTTTTTTCTTTTGTCTTTCTGTTTGCTTGCATGTAACGAAGTCATGTTTCTTCAGTTGTTATACAGAAAAATTGTTCTTTCCTTTTTTAAAGTCTCTAAATGACTGTTGTCCTTGCCAGATATTTTTCAAAACCTCTGAGGTGGGGGAATCTGTTTGTAATAGCACTGGAGATAGTGCTGATAAGGATTTTTAAAACTTTCTCCCTTCAGCTGTTTGTGTAGCACTTCAGCACTGGAGAAGACAACTGTTGTAAGCTTGGGACCAGATGTAACGTTTTCTGCTGTTGGTGTGCAACCACATCTAAATTTGAATTCAGTGCTACTGAACAGATACTGAATAGTACATCACAGTCTGTTTAAGAGCAGAAGAATGCTCTGTTTAAGAATTCAAAACTAGAATTTAACTAGGCCATAAGTATTCGTGACCCCAACAGAGCTGCTTAAAGGTGATAGGAAGGAGAATTGTAAGAGCTCATGCTCTAAACTGAACATGCAAGGAGCAAAAAAGATGTCACTGCTTAAAGACAGGCAGCCTATGTCAAAGATTTACTCACTCTGTCTTAGGAAGTCTGTGGCAGAGATTAACTAGGACTCAAATTTTGGAATTCATTTTTAAAGAGCTCTTGATATCTATAGCTAGAACTTGCCTAAGATCTTTGGAGTCAAGAACTGTACTGCCCCTAAAATTGGTAGGAGGTGCATGCTTTTCACATACTGTCTTTGCAGCCTGGTTATGGGGATATTGGTGGAAAAAATTGAGGCAATAAAAACTGTTTATAGACAATTAGCTGAATTTGCCCTTTTGCAAATATGAAAACTTATATTTTTGTAACAAAATGGTGGATGGATTAGAGATGCTTTTAAAATCAATGCTATGGTTCATTATCTCAGTGCAGTTGCTTATATATGCATCATTGCACTCTTTTCCTCCCCCTTCCCCCCCCCCCCCCCCCGACACCAGACACAGCCCTTGTTCTGCAAGTAATTATGATAATTGGTAGCAAGACAGACCTGTTACTCATCCTTTTCTGAGCACATTTCTTATGGCAGGTGTCTAGTTTTTAATTAAGTGCTAATGAACATGCCTAGTGGACCATGATACTGCTGCCAACTTCTTCATTTTTATATCTCACTGCTGCTGAGCTCTTAAAAGGTGACAGAGCAGGCATTTTAGTGTCTTTGAAGTGACAGAAAAGTGATTGTATGCATACCATAATTGTTTCTAGGATCTAATATGGCAAATGTCTAGTTACTAAATACATCTGGTGAGTGCTGCTGTTATCCATCTCCTCGGTCTTTAGTTTCTCCCTTTGTGTGCAGCGCATATTACATTCTCTTTCTAGAATGAGGAAGAGTAATATACTTGTAACAATTCTAATTGCATAAATGAAAAGAGAAGACCAACTCCTGGGAAGGATTGCCTTTATGTGTTAGGGAGAACTTGCAACCTATTATGAGTAGGTAGCATATAAGCAACAAATCAATATGCATAAGTCTTAAAGAGCAGCAAGCCTCAGATAATAAACATTAAACTACAACATACTTCTATTGAAATAAACTGTGATCAGGTTTTCAGTCTTAAGTCAGTTTAATGTAGTTAAATATTTAAGCATCTTTGAGGATTGCTTTTCCCTGTTATTTTCAGTAACCATTTTGCTAAGATTCTAAGGTGTTTCTTATGTAGAGCAATGCATTTTCTCTTTTGGCTTTCATATTCTGTTCTGTATCTTAAACTGAGCACTGTGGGCTTTGCTCCCCAGTATTCATATTCAGTCTTATCAAAGAAACAGGATGTGGCCCTTCTTGTTATATGCTTTCCACTTCAGAACCTGTTGGAGTTCAATTGATGTTCCTCTCTTCTGGGACCTTTGAAATATATTGACTATGTGTAGGCTACAAAGCAGAGCCAAGGTAACCATAGGTAACGTCTATAACAGTTTGATTTGTAAAGACTACACTTCTTGAAATCATGTTGGCTAACGTGTTTGCTAGTTAAACCAGACAAGAGAGACATGAAAAAAGGAATGTGCACAGGCTTCCTGGAGTGATAGGGGCAAGAATGGAAACAGTTTATTTTTGTTTCCCTGTTTTGACCTTGCCATGCCTGTACTGCAAACAAAGCTAACCTGATCGCCTTGTGGAGAAAAAAGTAGATTTCCCTCCAAGATACTGATTTGGAGGAGAGAAATCACTTTTTGTTCTTGGCCAGTTGCACACCACAACTAGGTAACCCAGTGTGATAGTGCGGATGGGGACAAGTAAGACCAAGGCTATGATCACAGTGCAGTACTGCTGATGCATGTTGTCTGATGGCTAGAGTGCGGTTGACTGACCTGAGTGACTTTAACCACCGAAGTGGTCAAAGAGGAGAGGTGCCACCTCTCTAGAAGAACTGGCTAAGAAATCAAGCTGTCACTTGATTTGAGGAAACATACTGGAAACTACTGAAGTCTTGATAAAGTCTGTGAGGAGGAGAGACCTTCTCTTTATTCTTTAGAGGCTGGATCAAAAAAACCAGCAGTCCTGTCAGACTTCTTGATGCTCTTACTGATCTTTCTAAAGAAGCAGCAAGGTATTTAAAATGAAATTTCACTGACAATAGCTGCTTGATCTGGTCTTGATTTTGTAGAAGCTGGCCTACTGCTTTAACTATTTTTTTTTTAAAGTTAATTTTTAATACTTCAAAATGTTAGCCTTTGTGTTTGTGTAAAAACAGATATTTAAAAAAAAAAAAGCTTCTCTTGCATTGCTTTTCAAAGATATTTAAGCTTCTGTTAAGAGTTGGCAAGAATAGTGATGAGAACATGTTACGTCTTTCATTGAAGACTAGTGATGCTTTTTATGCTGCGCGTGAAAAGGAATTGCTAAAACTTGTGAGAAACTAAAGCTTTGGTAAACTCATCCCCGTGTAAAATTGCCTTGAGAGTCTGTGGTAAATTAAGATTTGCCATCTTGTATGAAAAATAAATAAATGATGTCTGTTTTGCAGTTGGGGGCAGTGGAGAAACGAAAGCTTAGCAAATGCAGTCCAGAATTGTTCAGTGTCAGTCACTTGTACCTACAGGAATTCATAAACGGCTCAAGGCATGTTTTGGGATGGGTGTACAAGAAATGAAAGTGTAGAGGTGCAGTAGTTATTTAAGTAATAAAATATCATTAGGTATTATGCTGGTATCATAGCTGAGTTGTTTTAAAGACACTTTGGATCTATAGAAGATGATAAAATATTTTGGATCATTTTGAGTTGAGTATTTTGGAATAATTTGTGAAATATTGTGAGCTTTAGTCTAGGTATTGGTGTGACTTCAGTAGCTCTCAGTAGTCCAGGGTTAACTTTGCCTGCTCTTACAGTGTACTGGCCTTCGCTAGATCAGACTGGGTTGTTTTGCTGTGTTTCTTTCAAGTTTCTTCCCTCTCGCCTGGCAAGTCTCAGAACAGAAGTCTAGTACCATGTTACTAAGGAAATGTGGAAGGTTACATTAGAGGGTATCTTTGAAAATAGCTGTTAGTGAGGTAAATATGTGCATCTACCTGGATGTGGCTCTTGTAGTTAATCCTTTCATGTACAGATAACTCTAGATATGTCAACCTAAGATCTGATGCAGTTTTGTTTTCTTAACTGTTGAAGGGAAGCTTTTTAAAGTTGATCTCTGCCTTGGACGCTTCCTCGCTGGGCTTTGCTCAGAGTCTTAGTTTCCTTCCTTTTCTTCTGGTGTCTAGTTGAGATCATCCTGTTTAGCCTTTTGCTTGTCTCAATCTTTGCTTTGATCTTTTCTGTTGTGCCTGTCTTCAGCAGATGGATGGTAGAGCATGGCCAAGGGAAAAAGGCATGTTCTGTCTTGTGTTCACGTGCCTAGTGGCACAGGTACAAGACAGTGGCAAGAGGCAGAAAACCTGTTTTCCTGTAGCAACTTAAAGGAGACCTATGTCCAAGCTAAAGATCGTTTTGGAGCATAATCTTCTAAAGAGTCCAAGACATCTGTGTTGAGCATATTGGACAAATTAGGTGGAGAGTTGAACTTGGAAAATGTTAATAAAACCATAACAGCTTTAATTAGAAAATACCAACATTTATACTTTGGGAAAGTCATTCCATTATAAGGAACCTGTTTCTAAAATTGTTAAAAGTTAGTTTGTCAGTTTGGTTACTGTGTTGTATGTCCATTCATGATGGAATTGATCTTGCAAGCTGTCTTTGAAACAGATGTTTTAATTCATTAATGCCATATTCCTTGTGGGTAGTTCCATGAGCTCATTGACACTATCTGGAATATCTGTATAGTAAGCCCAAAACTAGTTCTTAAACCCAGTTCATGAACAGCTTTGGAAAAAAGCTTAGCTAGAATAAAATCTACATTTAAGTACACTGATTAAATACAAAATGGAGCAGTGTCTTTTAGATGTTCTTTAATGTTCAAAATAGAAGTAACCTGCTGTTCCCAAATGGGGGTGTGTGTGGAGTGAAAATATCAATCTTGCTAATAATTATCAGTCTTATCAAACCTGTTTGTTTTCTAGAATAGTGATAGTCACTTGAACAAAAAGGGAAAGGTGTCCAGACCCTCTTAGGAGTTCTGCTGTTGTTCGTCACTGATAAAGTTGACGGGGTGTGGCTGCCTGAAACAATGTACTGCAGTAAAACCTTTTTTCAGGCTGCAGAACAAGTATCAAGCTAGTCTTTTTCTGGTTTGTGGGACATGAACAGTCTTCCACAGACAGCGTTTCTATAGCATAATATAGTGCAGGATATATAATGTGATGGGACAAAGAGGAAAGGAGCTAGATTTAAAAAAAAAAAAAAATTAAAGATGTTGATTCTCAATAACTAACCAAACTTCTCCCTTTTCCTTCCCAAACTATGTGCTATGCATTGTTCTTCTGGGGATGATACTACTGGGAACAGCAGCAGCAATTGCAAGCTCAACATCTTTCCCATGGCCATGGACCTCCAGTGCCTCTAACACCACATCCATCAGGACTTCAGCCTCCTGGAATCCCTCCGTTTGGAAGCAGTGCTGGCCTTCTTGCCCTTTCTAGTGCTTTGGGTGGGCAGTCTCACTTGGCAATAAAAGATGACAAGAAGCATCACGATGCAGAACACCACAGAGGTGAGAGGCATGGCAGGCCTGATTAGGATATTGTCAAATTTGTGCGTTGCTGCAAATTGTGTGCATCTATAAAGAAATCAAGTTATATAGAATGAGAACAAACTGTTGGCAAACTTAAATGTCTACGTTTATACCACTGAAGCAAAATTCAGCTTGGAAATTTTCAGTATTTGAAATGGAGGATTGCTAGGTGTCTCCTGCTCTGTAATTTGCAGAGCGCTGACATCCTGGTAAATGCTTAGTGTAACACCAGTGATCTGCACCATGTTGTGGAAAACTGTTAAACTGTATAACTGGATAATTTTTTTCAAAGAAAGTAATGTTGTTAAATGGGTGGATGGGAAGGTAAGGGAAACAAAAAAGTTAAATTTTTAAAGTGAATGTGTTCAAACAAAAGGTTTGGATAACTGCATCTGTTAATTTAGTTTCATAGGTTTAAATTCTAGTACCCAAATATTGGGCAAAATTGCACTTGACTAATTTTTGAAAAGAAAATTTATTCTGTCATGAAATAAAACTAGTCTGTGTATGGTTAAACTGTAAAACATGTTTACAAAATACTGTAATTTTCAGGAAATCACTGTATTAGGAATGTGCAATGACTTATATAAATAAAAGCCATTTTAAAACTGTTCGCGGCTTGTGTTATAATTTTTTTCCCCCCTTTTTTATTTCTATTCTTGCCTCTGTGTCTGAACGGGCATGTCTGTGCGTTTCTTGGTTACTACGGGAGCAGACAGAGAGCCAGGCACAGTAAGTACCAATACCTGCTAACGTTTCCACTTCTACGTTATGTAATAAGCAGTGTTTGCACTGTTTGTCATCTTGTTTTGTTTTCCTTTTAGTCATAGTTTCATGATAATAAGTATGTCTTTTCTAGTAAGATATCTCTTGGTTTATGCAGAACATAAATCTTTTGGGTGGAGGGCTTGTATGAATCTGATAGATTTGTTTCTGAGCAGAGTGGTTTTGGGAATGCTTTAACTTTATTGCTTTTAAAAAAATGTTGCAAGTCTAACAAAACTTTGTGACCCAACACAAAGTTTATAACATTCTTAGTTGGAGTTAAGATGTTTCCTTTAGAATTTTCAAAAGTTAAAGTTGCAGGACAGGTGAAAAATTTAAAATTTGTGTTAAGACTGTGAACGGATTTTTGGCCCCAACAATTTCTCTAACAGAATCTGTTTAAGCCATACAAATGTCTTTGCTTCTTAATTTGTGCTTCAGTTGTAACTACCCTAGAAATACTTTTTCCTTTAGATGGAAACTAATAGAGTTGGTCTGAGACGATCTTATCCAGAAATCAGCCAAAGAACTTTTTTGTTATAGGGGGGTGTGTGTGTTTAAACTGTTGTTTTGAGTGACAGTACCATATTAACCTGCTAGAGATGGCCACATGCAACTTTCACTTCATTTCAAGTAATAAAACTAATTCTGCTTGTTGATAAGTGAATTTGAGCTTTCATTTATTTCTTATTCTCTATTAGAAAAGACAGGAACTGTTATTAATTGATAGATAACTTTATAGTACTATAAACTTCTGTTTTTGTTGCTTGTAGATGTTGGTTGTTTTGGTACTAGGCTTGAATTACTTCACTGGAAACTTTTTGCATATCTTTGGAGGCAATCTTTGTTTCCAAATTACAAAGCAAGAAGCGTTCATTTCAGCTTGCTTAATGTGGCAGTATTAATGTCAGTGTAACTGTGGAAATAATTTAAAGCTGTTTTTTCTCTGAAGCCTCTGAGACTTATAAGCACGTTTATCCTTGAGTCACATTGGCCAAGAGCAGGATTCTCAGCAACTCTCTCAGGAGCTGAGGAAGGAGGTTTGCATTGTATGCATGTGATGGTTTTGGTTTTTGGGTTGGTCGTTTTGTTGTTTCCTGTCCCTCCTCCCCCACTAGGACTGTGTATACTTTGCTACAAAATTCAAAAAAGTTATTTGATGAAAAATTAGGTACACTGCACTCGCCCTACTCCCCTCCCAGTTTGTCTTGAATAGCAAATATATAAAGGGTATTTGAGTGCTCATAATAACAACGTTGTGAAATTCAGAATCTGAATTTCAGATGTCCACCAAAGAAAATAGCTGAGTATAGATCTTGCCTATGAAGGGAGGACTGTCAGAAATTAAACCCACCTTTTGTGTTGTGGACGTTTGCAATATCACTTGCTTAGCTTACTGTATACGTTCAATTGTATTTAACTAAAATACATCAAATTGTCACTGCAGTTACTTCTGTCCCTATACGTGTGACTTATGCTTGCTTGGGTACTATATGTAGTAGGTGTGATATAACCGGCATTTTATGCTGGGTTACCACAAAGGATCCTTTAAACAATCTGGGACTTTAGTTCATAAAAGAACTTTGCCATAGGGATGTATGATCCAGAACTGAGTTCAGGTTACTATGCTACTGTGGCTATAACTCCTTTTTGGTCCAATGCAGAATAATATTTTATAGTTAAATTGAATTGTAATTGCTGAATACAGATGAACTTAAACAAGAGGCTACCCGCTTGTTTAAATAAATTGGTGCGTTAGAATTTTGATTTTAATAGTAATGGTATCTTTAGTGAAAGAAGCACGCATGTAATTTGAACAATGAAGTAAAACTCAAATTAGTGGCCAAAATGATCAGTTGGAAGTGATTCCATCTCTGAACTCTTCTAATTCCCTCATCTCTTTTAAATTAAAAGTTATTAAAGATAAAGCTATCTTAAGGATAATACAAAATTGATCACAAGGACACAAAGTGTACTAGCAGGACTGTTTAATTATTATTGTTCCAACTGAGCAGTAGTTCTTATTTTGCAAATTACTGTACAACATCTGGATCATCAGGATAACATGCAACTCCCCAAAATCAAATTCATCTTAAGTGTAATGGTACTGCCAAAAATCCTGACAGAGATGTGCTTTGATCATCCAAGACACCAAAACCCATGCTGTTAGTTATCTAAAGTAACTGTGATGTCTGATATTACTGTGCAGAATTTCCTTCAAAGATGTTTGACATGACCTTCCAGTATCATCAATAGGAGCTGATAGCTTTAAATCTGTAAGCTTGAAAGAGTGCTATTTAATGCTTAATGTTTGACTTTAAATTGTTTTTAATGTAACTTTAACTCAAAGTGTTTTAGCTTCTTTTAAAAATGAGATCTGGTTTTGGTCTTTTTAGTCTCTTTAGGTAAACATGCAGTCAAGAGTCTGTTTTGAAATACTTCCATAATGCAGTGAAACTCGCATATTCATAACAATATAAAGTAGAATATAAAGATATAGTAAGGGATTTCATTATTTATCTTGATTTGTGTGATCAGTGTCCATTTTACATACTTTTGCTGCATTTACATGGCAAAAACTGTTTTTCTTTTTTATACTACTTCCTTTCGTTTTTACCTATCACTTTACTCATGAAGAACTTCCAATTTCAGTAAATGCATATTTATGAAATACTTGTATGGCATTTCAGTTAGTAGTATGTTTCACACATGAAATGCTAAAATTGTTTGGTCAAAATGAAAGTATAGGACTGCGTGGATAATGGCAGGTGGTTTTTGGCTGATGTAACTCTAACCATCCAAAACTGAGCCGTGTTATTGTGGGAATGCAGCCATTCCTACTATTGTGACACAATTTGGCTACAGGCAATAAAGTCCATCAAAGCAAGCAAGTTTTGCAAGTGAACTTTAATAATGTTTTAGACATCCATGCAGGTCAGCTTTGTCCACGTTTTTCTCTGGAGAGCATAATGGCAACATCTGTCAGACTCATCTCAGGTATTCATTTATCACTTGTCCTCCCACTGTTTTAATAACCTGTTTGGACAGCATAGAAATGCAAATATTGTCAAGTGCTCTATTGTACCAGTAATAATTTGTAGACAGTGAATTCTAACCTTTTTGTGTGCTTGGGATTCACATTAAGGTTGCTGTTTGTCTTTGTCCTCTTGTCCTCGTGAAAAACATTTAGCTTGTTTTTTTTAAGGCTTAGGAAATGCTCATAAGAGTTGAAAGAAGTTTATTTCTGCCTGGGTTGTTCTGTGTAAATGCTGCTATTGTTTTTTAAGTAGATGCTCTTTTCTTTACAGGAGAAAAATATTCTGTGTCTTTAGGTCTCCATCCCATTCTTTTCCTCTAATCTTGGGGACAGGGGGCATGCACAACTGAATCCAATTTTTTGTTCATATTATGTGCAAGCTGTTTTTGTAAGTTGTGCATTTCAACTCTTAAATGGGTGGGGGGAAGTTGCAAAACAAGTTACGTGAAAGCTTAGAGTAATTTTCAAATGTAACACATGTATGCTTTGTGTTCTTTGTTGAGAAAGTAGTGTTTGTTTTTCCCACGGTACAACTTTTTAACTGAGAAACTTGCTTTCTGAAATTACTCATTCTTTTTTTTTTTTTTTTTT